TCTCTGGCAGATAGAACCAACCTGCTATATTTGGCCCTCCAACTCATTTCAAACCTTATTTCTGGAGTCCCTAGGAGGTATTGCACCAGTGATCCTGAGCAAGTCCTCTTAGGCTCCATTGTTTGACATGGACATTGGTGACCATCACTGCCATGGAGGGGTTGGGGTTTCTGAAGCAGCTGTTGTCAGCACTTCCTGCATGGGTGCCCGCCTGCTTTATTCAGATATGCTCACTAAACTAAGATTTGCTTCCCAAGTCTCTCTTCTTGTCACTGTGTTCCCTGTATCCTTCTCCCAACACACTCAAGTTAGATCTGAAGGAAAGTCTAATGGACTTCCTAAAGAGGCAAAATTACTATAAAGCTGGAAAAAGTACAGTTTCAGGGTCCTTTGACAAGCTCTCTACTAATTCTGTAGTATTTTTCTTAAAAAAAGACCCCTGGGCCTATACTAAGTACTGAACTGTGTCTCCTCAAAATCCATATGTTGAAGCCCTAACCACCAATGTGACTGTATTTGGAGACAGGGTTCTTAGGGAGTATTTAAGGTTAAACAAGTTACTAAGGCTGGGATCCTAGTGCAATAGAATTGGTAGCCTTATAAGAGGAAGATCTCTTTCTGTCCCCTCTACTCCCCCACCCACACCCCACACACGCACACCCCAAGGGAAGGCCACATGAGGATACAACAGGAAGGCAGCCATCTCCAAGTCAGGAAGAGCGGCCATACTGGTGCCCTGATCTCGAGCTTCCAGCCTCCAGAACTGTGAGAAAATAAATTTCTGCTGGTTAAACCACCTAGTCTCTTGTATATTTTTATGGCAGTCTGAGCAGAGTAAGACAATCCATTTTTTTTTCCTGTGAGCCTATATTTGATCATTAGGAATACAAATTGGAATTTTTCTCTGCCATTCTCAACCCCAAATTGCAGTGTTAATGTATGGCCCAGAGAGGTGATGTCAACACAGAGACAGAAATATTTTTTAGCTTGGAGAATTGATAGAAACTGAACTACTAGGGAGCTATTGTTGTGAACATTGGAAATGACCATGGGAAGAGGATGAAAGCCATGAGATAGGAAGGAAAAAAGGGTTCCTTGAGCAACCCAAGGAAAAGAAATCTTGGGGAGGGGCAGTACGGGACTTTTCTGAACAGGGAGACAGAAAGTAAAGTGGTTCAAAGCATGGCTCTGGACAATCTACTACTTGTATCTATGTGTAAATGGATATGTCACTGAATATGGGTTTTTTTGGCTCAATTCCTCATCTATAAGGTAGAGAAAACAGTAGTAGTATCTACATCACAGCGTTGTAAAGAAAAAAATTTATGAAATATGTAAAGCATTTAGAACAATGACTGTTGCATAAAAAGTGCTCAATAGAGGTTACCCATTTCATTTGTAATAAATTTCTAGTGTTCTCCAAATGAATGACATTCTCATCTGTCCAGTGTACAAAACCTTGACTGCCTCTTATGTCTTATAACCATATACAATCCATTACTATGTCTTGTTAATTTTATCTTCCAAATATTCAATTAATCCACTTCCTTCCATCTCCACTAGAGAGGTGTGAATTTTTCTGGGAAATAAAGTATTTTTTCTACCCTCCCAGAGAGGGAAGAGCAGCTAAAAATCTTTACAATGGATTTACATTTGCACTGTTTACTGCATAATTCACAATTCATGAATAGCCTCCTAGTTCATCTAGCTTTCTCTTTCCCTCCCAACCATGGGTTCTCCACACCTTAGGAAGAGTGAATTTTTCAAAAGGCAAATCTAATCATATTATTCACTTTTCTCCACGCCACTCCTCCAGCTTAAAACCCTTCAATAATTTCTCTTTGCATTTAAGATGAAAATCAAGCCTGACTATTACCAGATTCCTTTTTACCCTTCAACTATTGTTTTCCTCACTCCTATCCAAGCCATTTAGATTTTCTTTTGCTTCTAGATGGGCTAAGTTCCCTCCTGCAACAGGATCACTGCAAATAGTCTTCCCTCTACCCATAATGCTCTCCTCGAGCCTCTCCGTTCCCTTACCTGGTTAACTCCAGCTGATTCATTATAACTCAGCTCAAGTATCCCTTCTTAAGGGATACTTCTCTTGACTGCAACCCTTCCCCTTTCCCCAATCTAGGTAAGATTTCTTTGTTATTTGTTCAATTTCCTTTCACAGATTGTAAACTTCGTGAAAGACCACGTCTACTTCTACTCACCATCACACCTCCAGTGCCTAGCAGATTGCTTGGTTCATATATGATAATAAACAGCTGTTGAATGAATGAACTAATGAAAGAATGGCCAGTGGGGTAGGGTTCCATCTATTTTACTGTTCAATGTTGTCTTCACTGTTACTCTGACACAATGCTTTAATTGTTCTCAATATAACCTGCGAAACATGGTTATGAGTGTGATCCCTTTTCCTCTCATATTAAATTATCCACCTTCGTTGAAATACTCAAACCTATAATTATCTAACAAACTTTATCTGAATGCCTGAATGTAAGAAAATCTATCCAAACAGCCTCCTCAGGTATAAAACTCAGCTGCAGTCTTTCTACATTGAGTCTTGGACTCATATGAGTCCTTAATTAGGACTCAGCTTTTTTTGCTGGAGTTACAAACATTCCATTCATCTAAAAAGTGCCAACACAATCTTTGAAGAGTTCAGAAAATAAAGTTCACAACTGAAGATAGTTTTGATGAGTGTGTACTATATTTTCTGTAGCTCTGAGAAAAAAGAAAGGTTTAATTTACTGAGAAGCACTTAGAAAAATGTTTATTAAACACAAAATATATTATTTTAACCTATAAGGCAGTATGGTATGGACAAAGTTCATTTTCATATGTGGAAGTGGGGAATTAAAGAAATTATTTTGATCAGGTTTTCTCAGCTGGCAATGGTAAAACTGACTTTCAAAATTCCAAGACTTTTGATTTTAAAGTACACACTCCTGGTGTGCCATATTGTTTCTGTCTTCAAGGTTGTCAAGAGCTTGCCTGCTACCCACCTGGGCAGGAGGTAGTCAACACCCTGCAGGAGGGTGTCTTAGGTGTTATACAAGATCTATCCCCTCCCTTTCCTTCCTTCCTTCCCTTCCTCCCTGTTCCCCTCCCTCTCTCCTTCCTTCCTTCCTCCCTTCCTTCCTTTCTTCTTTCTTCCCTCCTTCCTTTCCTCCGACCCTTTGTCCTTTCTTCCTCTCCTTCCTAGAGGAATTGAATTGTTTAAGGTGAGTTTTCTCTCTCTTGCCCATCATTTAACTGTTTCTTTTTGCATGTATGATTTTTAATGTTATCCAGAGTTATATGCTGGATAATCTCAATAAGAGATTTCATTGGAATTAAGTAAATTTAATTCTTCATGCTTAAAAAAAAAACTCCACTAGTATTCCAATTCTTTAATATCAAAATGATGTTCTACCTCCTCCCATCCACAAATCCTGAATAAAAGTTGTGTGTGTGCTCACTTCAATCCTCCACACATGAACCCTTCCATTTATTGATTTATTTAACTCTACTCCTGGAGGAAGAGAGGAATACATGACAATTCAGGTAAATAATGATTGCATCGTTCCCATCTCATATAATTTGCCTAGCACTGGCAGATCTTAGAGTAAATTACAAAGACTGGAACTGGGTTGAAGTGAAGTGCAGCTATTATACTTCTGTGTATAGACAACTTCAAATAACAGTCTAAAATAGTTTTCCAACAGTGTTCCATAAACTCGCCTGCAATTTTTCTCATTGTCCTGGTATGTAATTAAGCTGAGCTAGGAGGCTTAAACTCAATAAAATTGCCTTTTAAAACATCTTAGTTAAAATTATTTTTAAGATAACAGAAAATGGCCTGAAGTACATATATGACATTGATTTTCGAAACTCTGTAATTTTCATTCCACACTGTGTCAGTATCACATATCTCCTGGGATCCATCTGACATAGAATCTGTTTGTTTTCCAACCATTGATAATTTTGTATAAAATCTTAAATCTGACTTGAAATATTTACTGTTATCTTACGGATTATCTTTACATTAATACTAACCAGAGTAATATACTGAGATATGATTCAGCTTATGACTGTACCAATAGCTCTATTAATATGTGCAAAAGGACATACCTAACTTTACTTTGTTGTAAACAATCTAATTTAACTAAACAGCAAAATGGATTACATTATTCTCATGTTTCTGGATGTGTAGGGAGGGGGAGATGGGAAGAAATAATGACCTCAGTGATCATTATGGATTGCATGGTTGATAGATAAAATTTCATTAGTTTTACAAGTATTAACTGAGAGCCCAGTGGACCCCAGTTAGTATAGTAGGCTCTGGGATTAAAGAAATTAAAATTCTTTGTCCCATTCTGAGCACTCTCTTAAAGAGATATCCATGCAAATGAGGAGAACTCAGTGTGATGACTGTTATGATAAATGTGTGTACAAAACAATTGAGAAATAGAAAAAGAATTACCTAATCCTACCTAAGCTTTTAAGTTTCCCTACATTTTCACTTTTATAAAAAAAATACTTCACTAACATATTTTGTATAAACCCTCTTCACATTTTTTTCTATTGCCTTAGAATAAATTCCTAAAACTGGAATTACTGGGATAAAAGGCATGATAATTTTTAAGGTCCTTGATCAATATTTAAATTGCTTTCTTGACAGGATGCTCAATGTAGACATTCACTAGCAATTTATGAGCATGCCCGTTTTGTGATACTAGCATCAGGGTACTAAACTATTCTCTTTAAAATTGCTTTTTCAGTAGCCTTTATACAGACAACCACTGAAGCACATTTCTTGTATTTCTTTCCAGAAACATACTATATATACTTATGATACTTTTTGGTATATGGGAGTATATTTAGTTTTATAAAAACAAATTCATTACATAGTCAAATCTGCTAATATTTTTCATGATTTCCCTCCCTGTGGCTTTCAAGATACCGTACTGTTTATTTTCCTCTATCCTTTATCATTGATCTGTTAATGTGATCATTTTGCTTAGAGAAGAACCATATTGATCTTGAAAACTGTATAGTGTGTTGCTGATCATTTCATTCTTCTCAAGGGATCCTGAGGGATGAGCCACACAATTGAAGTTTTGGGCTTTCCAAATAAAGTAGAAACAATAAGCTTGATCTTCTCTGAGGTAAGGGCATCAGAAATAATGTTCACTGCTTATGTGTTTGGAAAGTAATGACAATTATATCAATTGCCCTTAAAGAATATAGCCTTTTTAGTAAAGGAAGTGTGTACATATGGGTGGGGGTGGGCGGTGAGAGAGGGGAGAGCATAAATCAGAATGAAGCAAATTGCTTGTAGAGGCTAGGTAAGACTACATGAAATGATAAAGTGTAAGGGCTCTTGTTTTGAATTGTACCAATTAATGGCACCTGCTTAGCAAAGAATGTAAGCTCTCTCCAACGCTCTCCTTATACCAGATTCCACAGTGACATGATCTTTTATTATAGAGGATTGCATGCATAGAAACCTGCCAGACTGGAGAAGGGGTGTTTTCTCTTTGTTCATTCTTCTAAAAACATTTTTAAAAGTTATTTTGACATTCAGCTACTTGAAAATAGAATCCTAAACAAAATAATTTAATGTGGTATGAAGTCAGGATTTGGATAAAATGAATAAAAACGTTATAACCCAAATATGTTATAAAATGGCAGAATGATATATTACAGAAGGTGTTAGAAAATAGTTATAACTGTTCAAAAAATTCTGCCCTAAAGATCAAATAGTCTGGGCTGAAAAAATAACCTAGGTGAAACCAGCTTCTGTTTCATTAAAACTTTCCAAAATAAATTCTAAACCCTTCCTAGTGCAAACCTGGCAAAAGACTAAATAGCTTTATCTGATAAACATAAATTTAATTCAGTGAAGCAAAGTCTGTACTGAGGAAGTAAGTTTTATGGAGGAGAGCATAATTCCTCTTCAGTTGTAGATGGTAATATTGAAAGATTTCCTTCCTGCCTGGGATAAGCAGTATCGGAATACTCACATCTCATGATTTCTTGTGATGAAAGAAAGGCAGTGACCACCTTTGTGCCTTCATTTCCTTGACTTCACAATGGGTAAGATGGGCTGGATTTTTAAATCACATGATCTGTGACTTGGGTTCATCATGGTCTTCCCTTCCTTGCAATAAAATAGGAATGGAGGCCCATTAAGTTTTCTCTCTTGTTAACAGTTTTTAGGGTTCTTTAAAAAAGGTTTTATTGAGGAACTGGGGAGGGGAACAGTGTTGGGGAATTGGGGAAGGTAACATTGTGTTTTTCCAGGACCCATCAGCTCCAAGTGAAGTTGCTATCTTTCAATCTTAGTTGTGGAGGGTGCAAGCTCAGCTCTAAGTCCAGTTGCCGCTTTCAATCTAGCTGCGGGGGTGGGGGTGTAGTGCGTAGTCCACCATCCCATGTGGGAGTCAAACTGGCAACCTTGTTGTTAAGAGCATGCGCTCTCACCAACTCAGTGGCAGCTCAACTCGGGCTCAGCTCACTGGCCCATGTTGGAATAAAACCAGCAACCCTGTTGCTCAGAGCTCGCACTCTAACCAACTGAGCCACTCAGCTGGCCGGACAGTTGTTTTGTTTGGGCAACTGGATGAATGGCAAAAGGAAAGAGAAGGCTTTCCCTGTGGAATAACAATAGTGGGAGTGATGGGGAGCAGGGATAAAACCTGGAGAGCAAACTACTTTTAACTCCTGGGAGCAGCTATTAAAGCAAACTTGGGGTGTGTGAGAGGGGCCCATGTTCAAAGCTGATTATAGTGATAAAAGGAGGGCTGAAGGAGAACAGTAAATGGCAGGATACCAAGTATGTTCTCCCATAGTAAGGTGTAACACACAAGAAATACTCAATGAAACAATCCTAAGCGTCACACCGAACATTGAAGGCTCCTTGCTTTTAAAGTGTACAGACCAAAGAAGCATATCTTTGAAAGCTTCGGTAAGAGTCACAAGGTTCAGGTAAGGCATTTTTAGGTAAGATGCTCTTTTCCAACTTCCTTTCTTGCTACTGTCTCCTGACTCACACCTCCCCAGACAGAAGGGCCTCTTTGTTGTACAAAAACATACCAAGAAACCACCTTGGGCTTTGGCACTGGGTGTTCTCTTTCATGGAACATTCTTCTCCAGATATTCTCCTGAGTAATTCTCTCATTCTTTAAGTCTTTGCTCAACCGTCGCTTTCTCAGAGAGACCTACTCTATGAGGTGATGCAACCAGCCCCCTCCCTCCACCCAGCTGACAATCGCTTCCCAGCAGCCCTCCCCATTGCCTTTACCTCCTCTACTCCTTTTTTTTTCCATAGCACGATCATCCTCTAACATACAGTGAATGTTAGTTATTTTCAATATTATTATTTATTGCCTGTTCCCTCCTCCACCTACCTCCCCTTCTTCTATCCCCATATAGAATGCTGAGCTCCAAGAGAGCAAGGATCTTTGTTTTTTTCACAGGTGTGTCCACAACACCTGGTACAGAGTCTGATATGTAAAGGTACAAAAGGTACTCAATTAGGATTTGTTATATGAGTATATGAAGGCTTATGGAATCTGCATGAACTGGGAAGTACATATCAGCTAAGGAGGCATAGCGTGATTTTCATACACATCTGCTTTTGCTGTAGCTGGGAGGTACAGAAACAGGAAGCCGAATAAAGTGAGGGTTTGTTTTGTTTCCTGGGAGAAACATTACCAAGAAGCTGGTCTTTTTTTTACCACCCAGTTCATAGTATTTCCTGAGATTAATGATATCTTGAATTTGGATGATGTTTTAAAATTTTTTTCTTAAAAGCTTGTGTTAGATTTTAGCTCACTTTAATCCCTATTTTACAGCAAGAAAACTAAAACTCAGAGAGGCAAAAATGTGCCTAGTGTGTCACATTCAGCAAATGTGACTTTACAGAAGGGTACCCAGGCTTTCTAATTCCACACGTTCTCTCATCACGCAGAGAAGACAGAAGGGATACACCATTAAGGGCACAAAAGACAAAAGACTGACATGTGTGTGTGGGTGTGTGTGTGATGTAAAGTGTGATGTTTCCGGCCAAAAGACAGAGATGAGAGGATAAGAACAGAGATAGGTCGTTAGAGCTAAAGGAGAACATTGCAGTTTACAATGACCTACATTTATTGATCAGTATTCCAAACATGTTTTAAAAGCTTAAAATGATATCTAAAGTATATTTCCTTGTTCATTTATGCCTGAAATGCCATAAAATTTAGACTTGGTAAGGGGATTTATTATTTTCACTGTTTCTTATCATGAAACTACAACCTGTTTAGAAAATTAAAGTCCATACTGAAAATATGTCATTGTTTTTCAATAGTTATCAGTTCTCAAGCTATGAATTCTCAATATTAGATAGCATTTTTTAGTTTTTGTTCTCATGTATCTGTCAGATATTTTATTTTTGGGATACACAGCTGTTAACTGTTCTTTTAAGTGCCAACCTTCAATCATTAAGCCATTTCATTTCTATTTTTTCCCTTAGCAGCTGTTCTATTGATTAGAAATTGTCGCTTCTAGAATGTTTAAAATTAAAACAGGGAGTGCAAAATAAAAAGGTGATATTTTTTTCAAAAATGGTGAAATCATAAGAACCCATGCTGTACTCTAAGAAATTACAATGTATATTCCCTGTAAACACACACACACACATACACACACACACACACACACACACATGCACGCGCGCGCGCACACACACACACACACACACACACATACACACACACAGTTGAAATGCACATATACACATTTCTTAATTTATATTGGCCTCATTGAAAGAATTCAGTAAAATATGTAATACATTAAGTGCATACTACATGCTTGTTGCTTTGTTAAATACTGAAATACAGTTTCAGGAAGTGAGTATATTATTATCCTCATTTCACAGTTGAGGAACCTGAAGCTCAGTGAAGTTAAATAACCTAGTCAAGGTCCCAAAGCCAGTAAATTCCAGAGACGAGATTGGAATTGAGTTTTGTCTTGATTTCAAAAAGCTTGTGTTCTCTTTTCCTGTTATTTTATTTTCCTTGGAATATTTTGGACATACAAAAACTGTACAGAGAAAATAAAAACCTATGTACCTACCAATGAACTTAGAAATAAAAAATTATAAATATAGTTGGACCCCTAATTATATTTAGTAATCCCATTACCCCCATTTTCCTCCTGAGTCCTGAATTTGTGTTTTTCATTCCCATTTAAAGCTTTCGGTTTACTATGTATGTATCTCAAAGCAATATTTAGTATTATTTGAGATGTTATTAAATTTCTTCTACTGTTATAAAAATTTATGTTTTTACTCAAAATTAACTGCACTGTTTTAGAGTATTCCTTTGTTTGAGTATAGCGTGATTTCCTGATCTATCTTGTTGACAGCTATTTAGGCTGTTTACAACTTTTAGCAATTACTTTTAATTTTTGTCAAGTTGATGGGTGTAAAATGATTTTATATTTTTTTTTAATTTGCATTTTCCTGATTAGTACTAAAGTCGAATACTCTTCCATATACTCACTGGCAATTAATATTTATTCTACTATGAATTTCCAGTTCAAGAATTTTGCCTCTTTGTTCTATGGAGTTGCTCATCCTTTCTTACTAATTTTAGGATGATTACAGGTAATAATCTCTAGATATCTTTCTGAGGTTTTAAATATTTTTATAATATCTTTTTAAAACTATTATTTTATTAGTTTCAGGTGGTGTATTTCTCATGTCTTTTGAAAATTTTACTTCTTTTGCTGTGAACTGTCTGTTCCTGCCCATTGGCCCATTTTTCTGTTGGGGCTTTTTGTCTGTCCCTCAACTTTACTTTTTTTTCTCTTTTAATTTAAGGGCAATTAGTTTTTTTTCCTGTGTTCTAAATTGCATATATTTTTCTTACTTTTGCAGTTTGTCTCTGACTTATGCTCTTCTGTTGCCCCACAGGAGATGATTTTTATGAAGTATTATTTTTATCAATCTTTTATGACTTCGGGCATTTGAGTCATAGTTAGAAAGGCCTTCCTTATTCAAAGACTATAAAAAAATTTACCTATGTTTTCTTCTTGTAGGTTTGTGATCTTGCTTTTTTACATTTAAATCTTTACCATTTGAGAATTTACCTTACTGAAATGTTGATTTAAACTCATCTTG